GAAAAGGATGTTCATCTGAGGGCGCAGGAGCGCGCAGAGGTGGGAGGCTTACTGAGGGGACCGTGCTCGCTCACGCGTGCTCTGACTCGAGCGGCTCTTGGTTGTGTCACCGCGCTGCCTCTGCCTGCCTAAACGGTATAATTAGCCGGTTCCGATCAGTCGTCCCCGGGCCATTTCACAGAGTTCGTCTGCCCGTGCTTCCGTTCTCTCCGCCGATATCAGCGGCGGCTATGTGTGAGTAAAAAGCCAGCCAGGCTCCCCGCAGCAGCAAGAGGTGTCTCCAGACATGGACCGGATAGGAGTGTCATTCCTGGACCCGCTGGATGACTACGAGCTAATCCACAGGATTGGGTGCGGCACCTACGGAGATGTTTTCAAGGTGAGTGAGAACCTGTCCCCGTGTTTGCACCGCGCTGACAGAGAAAGCCTCCATCAGGACGCGAAGGGCGCTGGGGATGTCACTTCCTGTCATCAAGGTGAAACTTCGTCTTTTTGGACAAGTACAGAGCCTGATGTGACAAAGCAGTCCCTACCGAGCCACAGCATCAGAAAAAGTCCGAGTTGCATTTTGTTTACTGACACATGATCAGTGTGTCCGACTGTGCGCCTCCAACAAAGCTCCTGTAGCGCAGGTTTCCTGCAGAGCGCTGCGGTACTAGCGTGCTGCGTGCGCGGGGCCACAGGTTCATAATGTTTTCATGGAGGTGTGCGGAGAAATCTCCTGTTTTCACTGCTGTCACTGAAGAAGTGGCAGAATCAACACCTTATCGACGAAACAAGCGAGTAAGACAGACTGATGTTGTCAGATGTGCAACAAATGCATTCCTCACAGTGTCATATCTGTGGTTTCACATAGGTGGCAGGATTCTGAAGTCAACCATGTCATCTAATCGAAATATTAACCCCTGACTGGAGCATCGGGGTGCAAACATCCCGTGCAGTTAACACACCCTGGTGGCTTGTACATCCTCGTAGTTTGTATTTGACAGCATCGACAGCAACCCTGTTGCCTTTATGGAAAAACAAACACGTTTATTTTAGCAGCTTGCGGCCGTGAGTCTAATGTTCAACGAATAAAAAGACTAAAGTGTGTCTTAAACTGCCAGGCATCCACCCTCAGCTCTAAGTCAGGTTATCTTAAATATAGCAGGGGTGTGTCATACTGGATATGTAGCACTTTCTTGTTCTTCCATGTTAAACTTTTAAGGATCACAGCAACCAAATAAGCAATAATTAACCTTTTTTAGGTTAGATTTAAATTGTAGATAGAAAAATTGGGATTGATACATAGTATCCAATAATGTTTTTATATAATTTATATATATAGTTTTAATAACTTTCAGCAATACCTTTCACAAACTAGCTGGTCTGCTTGGTCAGAATGCATGAGCCGGACAAAGAGGGCTAAACAGCAATGACAGAGCAGAGTTTCAGTACTAACGCTGATGTCCTAGTAAAACTTCCCTGTTGTTTAACACAAAACACAATCAAGAGAGATGCCCCCCGCCCCCC